CTTCCCACTGTTTGGCACCTATCGCCCAAGTTGGCGAATGCAATTTTAGGAACCTCGCCAAGTGCTGGTTATCTAAGTATCCCCAATTTCTTGAATAGTGGCAAGACTATTCAAGAATTTTTTTAAATATTTTAGCACACAATCTGGTGTGTGGAGCACTGCAAGATCGTAGGAGACTGCGCCTCCAGATACTTTAAAAATTCTTGCCATAATTAAAGGCAAGCTATTATATTTCATGGTAAAGATAATGAAGATGATAGACACGAATATGAATGTTTAGGGATATTGCAAGCCAAAAGTGAAATTTTCCCACTAATGGATTTTGTAAAAAAATGTGGTGAAGCGGTAATAAATGAGGATGATATAACAGAAATTTTTCATTATGATGACAATGCCCCAATCATCAATAAATTAATGGATGGCAAAATCTGTAGTACGGTTCTAGATCCAGATAATAAATCCTATCGATAGTGAAGAAGGTGACAAAGACGTTATTGAAAATGAAAAAATTTGGATTGGCAAGTTATTCGGAATTCTCGACACAGCAATTACAGGGTACTTTTCCATTTCGCCGGCGCAAATCTCGCCAAACAGACTTTACTGGTGACAACACATAGCATACACATATAAAATGTTAACAAATATTGGTTCAAAGAATTTTTTATTTTGAGAGCATAAACATTTTAATATCGTTTAAATTTTATATAAAGCAAATAAGTAAAGACAGCTTTTAGGTAATTTTGTAAAAATAAATTTGTAAAAAGTTATTACTTTAAGAATTTACTATGCTTTCATGGTACAACATCCTGATTCACGTAACCCTAAGTGATCTCATCTTGCGTAAACTATGCTACAAAAATATCATTCTCTCAGTAATTATCTACATTACTTTCAAGTTAAATCTTAATTTGGAATACAAGTTTAAATGCAAGAATTATTTCAATTCGTACGAATAGCTTACTCGGAAATTACGTAAAACCGCACTGGGCTAAACTTTGGAATATGGTAACAGGTAGTTTTGCGACATTTTGGTAAGGGATAAAGGTTACTAGCTAGGACTTTAGCAGTGTACATGGATAAAGTCAAGTGTGTGTGTAATTCTGGGATGTTTTTTTAAGTGAAAATAAGTCGACGTGTACGTGAATGATATCGTTTTTGTGCAATTCTTAAAAACGCGGCAAGCAGTGGGCGATTCTGCACTTTGTCCCAATTTCGCACCTAATCTTCGACATGATTAAGCACTTTTGTTCCATAAAAGTTCTAGCATAAGCGTAATTCGGCTAGCAGATTGTTGGGGGGGGGGATGAAAAAAACCTTTACTTCCTGAAAACAAAATGGCGTCCAAACAAAAACTAGCAGGTTGCTGTAGCCGGGTTCATCACCAAATTTTCGCCAAAAAATCTCCAAGTTACCATAATCCAAAGATCCCTCAGTGCTTTATTTCGGTAGTGCATTCTCATTAGATTTGATGAATTTAACCCTTGACTTTGCCTTTTCTATATTTTTGCTTTCAAGTGAGCATTGTGATTGGTATCCTAATCCACTGAATTACCACGAATGTCCTTCGGGCATAAAACAGAACTATCTGGTAAAAATTCTAAGCAATTGTATGCCAGTATTGAGAGAAACAATGAATATGATAGGAAATGGCTGCGACTTCTTTTGAAAATGAGGCATAAAAGGTTACCAGTGAAGATATTCAGTTTGGCATAAGTTGTACCATTACTGGCGACTTTATTGCCTGCGCCGGCAAAACAGAAAAGTACCCAGAAGTTTTTCATTTTGATGACAATGCCCCGATCATCAATAAATTAATGGATGGCAAAATCTGCCGTATAGTTCTAGATCCAGAAAATAATCCTACCGATAGTGGAGAAAGTGACAGAGACGTTATTGAAAATGAAAAAATTTGGATTGGCAATTTAGTAGAAATTCTCGACACAACAATTACAAGACTTAATCAAGGGAACTTTGTAACTGAAGAAGATATTATGTCTGTGTACCAAATTAAAGAGAAAGTATTTACACTAAAAACGAAGCAACTTAAATAACTTACATTGAAATAAATGTTTAACAAAGTAAATAGAAAAATATTAAGCTTTTTTTTTTTTTTTTGTAAATTTTGATACTCTTTAGATCATAAATGCTTCACTATTTCATAAACCATGATTTTATATTTTTAATTATCAAAGTATTTGCAAAACTCCTCCCACACTTCCATTTAACACATTAATTAGCATTAAAGGGGCAAGAACCTTTAATATATAAAATTTGAAATATTTATATTAAAAAATTTCAGAATTTTTTAATTTAATATCTTGATAAATTCAATATTTTTACCTATTTCACCCTTAAAACAGTAAATAAATTATAAAAAAGCACTTATGGTTACAATTTTTAAAAGATAAGGTTTATTAAATAAAAGAGAGGGGTTTAAGTGCAGTAATGTTACTTCAATAATTTCCATAAAATATAATTTTACCTGGCAAATTTCTATGAAAATCTTGCTGCACAAATCCCTGGGTTAGAGTTGACTTAAGGGTACCCTTTGTATTATCGCGAAGGTGTTGTTTCATTTATCGCCAAGTTGTTTCATTTGTGGTAACCTGAGTACTTGAATGTTATGGAAACCCTATTATGACATAATCAGTTGCATTATTCCTGGAAATTTTGAATCATGGGATTGGCTTTTGTAGTGTGTGTTGGTTAGGAAGTACTTTGCTTGTTTTATCGTTCAGACGGTAGAATGACTGAATGTAGCAAGTATAATTTGAAGTTTCTGTACGATTTAGAATGAAAGGGGGAAAAGAGCATTAATTGACTGGTGTGTAAATGAAAGTTTACTTAGTAGGCACTTTCCGGACAGTCCAGAACCATGGAGGATATTTTTGTGAATTTATGTGGCGAAGCTGATACAGTCAAAAGTCATTAATCCGGACTCATCGGGACTTCGGTGATTCCGGATTATAGATCATCAGTTTAAATCTCATAAGATGGCATGCAGAAATTCTAAAATTAAAAACCTGAAACCGTAATTTATGAAATAAAGAACAATTATGATCTAAAGAGTATCAAAATTTACAAAAAAAAAAGCTTAATATTTATTTGTTTACTTTATTAAACATTTCTTTCAATGTAAGGTTGTTTAAGTTGCTTCATTTTATGTGATAATACTTTCTCTTTAATTCTATAAACAGACATAATTTCTTGTTCAGTTACAAAGTTCCGCTGTTCAAGTCCCATTAATTGCTGTGCCGAGAATACCGACTAACTTGTCAATCGAAATTTTTTCGTTTTTACTAACCTCTCTGTCACATTCTTCATGTCTTTATCCATTTTTTGCAGCAATTCCACTTTTTGTTTGATGCACATCGAAATATACTTTCGTTTTGTACGATCCTTTGGGAGCTCCAGAATCGGAAATTCTATTTGACATAATGGAAAGTTCAAGTTTACTTTTATAGTATTGCTCTTACAGTCTGCAAAAAATAAGCTGGATCCAATTCGAAAATTAAGGGACAATGCAATCATCAACATTAACTGAAATAGATAATTAGATAATTTTAGCTTATACCGTCCATTATACATAAAACGCGCAAGCGAAAACGTATTCTGCGCTTGCGCACACTCATATGCGCAGTCGTAAAAGAAAAGGTCTTACGTGCATGTGTCAACGCGGCGCATACGTAGAAAGTTTTTAGCTTCTACGCGGCAGCACATGCGTAGAAAGTTTCTAGCTTAGATTATAGATCATTCCGGATTATGGGTGTCCGAATTAACAACTTTTGACTGTATACAGATTCGAGTTCAGATAATTTTAGGAAGTTTTTAAATGCTGTTAAGGAACTTGTGTGCCACAGTCTGAAAACGAAAAAATTTCTACAGAAGGTAAGCGGCTATTTGGTTTGTGTAGTGCTTAAAAGCATTTTTCCTTTTTTATGTTATTTTATTGTTTGGTTTAAAAAATGTAAATTACTAAGATTATGTATCTTTTGTTTGCCACTATTGTATGCTCCTTTGACTTTTTAAGTGAAAATATATCGATGTGTACGTGGACAGAGTGAAGGGAGTGCACAATGCTTGTGCTCAATTCTCTGAGGACTTTCTTTAAGTGAAAATTGGTTGGCGTGTACATGGATTAATTAAAGGGAGTGCACAATGATAGTTTGTAAAATTCTGGGATATTTTTTAAGTGAAAATAGGTCGATATGCACATGGATACCGAGTTTGTGAAATTCTTAAAAATGCGTCAAGCAGTGGGCAATTCTGCACTTTCCCCAATTTTTTTAGGTGAATGTATTTTAATTCTTCAGGGTTTGATAACGAATTTAAGTTTTTGAAGCTTACTATGTTTTCTTAACCATGTTTGTTTTTAAAAATTATTATGCTGTTTTTAAAGGATTTTTGGTTTTCAAAATTTTGCTTCAACTTTTATTTCGTATTTATTTTACCTGTTCACCATTGTAAATGTCACGCCTTGCGTAGTGTCTTCTGGAGAGGTTGCAAATCCAGGAGACAAGACGCGAGAGCGCGCCAAGTTGGCGATTCTGAAACACGTGTCAGGCAGTGGGCAATTCTGCTTTATCCCCAGTCAAAGAATTGCACAAACTCTGTATCCATGTACCACCAAAAACTGCCAAGGGGTACCCATAAATATATTCTTACTAATACCTGTTAGGATTCTAGAAAAAGGTGTTCCTTGAATTAAAACCATTAAAATGGTGACTAAGAACCAAATCACCAAACTAGTTTCAGTTCCAAAGTTATATTATTATGGGAACGATATGAGACAATTTTCTTTATGCTTCAGATACTTATAAGGATAACTTTTGACAATGCTTGAAAACTGTGAAAGTTGCAAGTGAAACTGAGACCTTTTGTTTTTCTTTTGTATACAGATGTTAATGTTTATAAAGTGTACATTTTTGCAAATTGAAAACTAAAGCACACAGAAAAGAATTTAAATAAATATCTAGTTCATTTGAGTTTCTCACCTGCTTTGGAAACAATATATCCATAGTCACTCATTCCTTCAAATGTTTTCTTAGGTACTTCACTCTCATCAGGTTGCTCTACTTGGTATGTCGAGGATATGACTGAATATATTTGAGACCTCATTTTCCTTTATGAGTATAAAATATTACAACCCTACACTGGCCTTATGAATGTTATATACTTGACACATTTGATATTGCATCTGGATTGTAATACTGAGAATGATATTTCCTGACAATACCTCTACATATCTATAAACGATGTAAAGAAATTGAACTATGTAATTTAACTGCAGGTCTTTAATATTTCATCACAATAAAACCCATATGGGATGAAATATTTAGCCATGCTTCAGAATCGCAGTATCAGAAGTATATCAAAGTGGTACCAAGCATATGATCAACAGAATGCATTTTGGTAGGTCACACATGTAACATTGAACACATACGAATTATTCAAAACTGTGAAAATTGCAATCCAGTGTTTTGGGAAAAGGTGGATGAAATGCAAAACATATCAAGTCAAATTCTGTATAAGAGCTTTTTAATCAAAATTGGTATAAGCAGCTATTAGAATCTTTTAAGACAGGATAGCGGCAAATGTAGCTTCAAGTTAACATTACTTAAAACAGACTTGAGATATATCTTGCAGAAATGAAAGTTTTTAGAAAGAAATAAATGGTTTAGTCTTATTTGTATCAAATGGTAATTTACAAACTGCACAAAGAGTCAGCAATACATTTTATATCACACATTATAATGACTTTAAATCTAAAACTGTGCTACTGAATGCCTCTCTAAATTCCAAGGATACTGCTACCACTAAATACCGACGTCTGTCGAAACTCACTCACCCTCAAAAAATGAGGTCTCTTTGCTGCTGGACAAATCATTACTGCACTGATAATTAAAGGATGATACTAATTTAATATCCCCTCAAAAGGCAAAAGGTTTCTCTTCTTGTGTAGGTCAATATATAATTCTTCAAATTATTCCACTCCCAAAACGAATTGTTAGATATATGAAGAGGGAAATTTCTCTCTGTGGATATGCATATTTTACTCATCCTATACTAAAAATGAATTTTTACTTACTTCATACACAAGTTATCTCTGCATTGTGAATATGCATATAATTGCTAAATTTAACTTTCTGACTAAATGACTTCTTGCATTCTTCACAAGGACTTTTTACACATGAGTATTTTTCATGTGAATAAGCATATGACTGGTTAAAATACCCTTCCGACTAAATGCCTTCTTACATACTTCACACACATGAGGTTTCTCTCCTGTGTGAATAAGCATATGATTATGTAAACTACTCTTTTGACTAAATGACTTCTTACATACTTGACAAACATGAGGCTTCTCTCCTGTGTGAATAAGCATATGAGTACATAAATGACCCTTTTGACTAAATGACTTCTTACATACGTCACAGATATAAGGTTTCTCTCCTGTGTGTATAAGAATATGTCTATTTAAATAAAGCTTCTGTCTAAATGACTTTTTACATACTTCACACACATAAGGTTTCTCTCCTGTGTGAATAAGCATATGAGTTATCTAAATGAGCCTTTCGACTATATGACTTCTTACATACATCGCACACATGAGGTTTCTCTCCTGTGTGATTAAGCATATGAGTATCTAAATGACCCTTTCGACTATAAGACTTCTTACATACTACACACACATGAGGTTTCTCTCCTGTGTGAATAAGCATATGTCTGTTTAAAGTATTCTTCTTATTAAATGACTTCTTACATATTTCACACACATGAGGCTTCTCTCCTGTGTGAATGAGCATATGACTATCTAGATGACCCTTTCGACTATATGACTTCTTACATACTTCACACACATGAGGTTTCTCTCCGGTGTGAATAAGCATATGCCTGTTTAAAGTATTCTTTTGATTAAATGACTTCTTACATACTTCACACACATAAGGTTTCTCTCCTGTGTGAATAAGAATATGAATGGCTAAATTACTCTTCTTACTAAATGACTTCTTACATACTTCACACACATGTGAAGGCTTTTCTCCTGTGTGAATAAGCATATGCCAGTTTAAAGTATTCTTCTGATTAAATGACTTCTTACATACTTCACACACATGAAGTTTCTCTCCTGTGTGAATAAGCATATGGCTGTTTAAAGCACTCTTCTGATTAAATGACTTCTTACATACTTCACACAGAAGTGAAGGCTTTTCTCCTGTGTGATTAAGCATATGACTCGTGAAACCACCCTTCCGACTAAATGACTTCCTGCATACTTCGCACACATGAGGCTTCTCTCCTGTGTGAATAATCATATGATTGTCTAAATGACCCTTCTGTCTAAATGACTGCTTACATACTTCACACACATGAGGTTTCTCTCCTGTGTGAATAGGCATATGAGCGATTAAACTACACTTGTGTTTAAAGGAGTACTTACAAACTTCACACATATAAAGTTTTTCTGCAGTGTGAATAAGCATATGGCTGTTTAAACCATGCTTATGACGTAAAGACTTCTTAGATACTTCACATGCATAACATTTCTTTCTTGTGTGAGTAAATATGTTCATGTTTAAATTAAAGTTCTCACAACATGACTTTTTCCATACTTCACACACGTATGAAGTCTGTCTCCCGTGTTAATAAGCATATGCTTGTTTAAATTGCCCTTTTGGCAAAATTATTTCTTGCACACTTCACACATATATAGTTTCTCTCTTGTGTGAATAAGCAAATGCTACTCTAAATTAATCATTTACCTATATGTCTTCTTACCTACTTCAATCATATCAGGCTACTGTTCTATGTGAATTAGCATATGCATGTTTAAATTACCTTTTCAACTAAATGAACTCTTACAAGTTTCACACACATGAGGTTTGTGTTCGATAAGGATCTGTATGTGCTCTTTTAAACACTGCCTCTTGAAAATGATTTATTACACATTTCCCAGAACATGTAATCTCTAAACTAAATTGCTAAGTATAACTTACATTCTTGATATAATATAACTTGCTGCACATCTCGCGATGAACTCTTTAACAGAAATTTTGCCCAAAGTAGTTCTAAGACGGTTCACTGTAGCATTTGATTTCTCGCGTAAATACGTGCGTATATCTTAATAAATGAATCAATACAACTTATTCGTGAGACGCAGCACCTTTTTGATATTAGATTAATTTATGGATACCTTGATTTCCAGGAATGTTTCACTAAAAATTAATTTCTTATATTCCATAAAAATACGATTTCTTGCCCGAGCATATACACGTTTAAACAATCTGTCACACACGATAGGTTACGACTACCTGAATTTTTTCTATAGTTGCTAAGCTAATGATTTATAGCTTGAAGAAGTTACATATTATGTTAGAAACTTGAGTAACAATTGTTAAAGCTTAGAAACGTTTTTATACTTTCCATTCTTACAAGTATAAATCACACTTAAGCATCAAGCAATCTTTAAACACTCGGATGACAGTCGTTATCGTTAATAAACTACCTGCGGCGATGTTTGGCCAAACAAACCGTAAAATTTGGTTATTTATCACTGTTTCCACACACAAATTACTAAACTACACCAGCAAAATGTAAGTGAAGCTTGCTCATGAGCCAGAAATTATAAAATACCAAAAAAAATGCATTAAAATAAATTATGTAGTCTTAACATTGTGCCACTTAACGCAAAATTGCCTCTGTGTCATTTTAAGTTAGAATTAAAAAATATATTTGTATACTTACCAATAAAATTAACCACAGAAATACTCCGAATAATAAGAAATAAGAAAAATAATATCCAATAAAAATGCATTCCATTAAAGCACATATTTAAATGTTGAGTCCTTATTTGTGGAATCCTAATTTTTCTACCATTCCCGCTAAATTTTGGCTTATTGTACACGTTCATCTTGTTTGACAGTCGACTCAGGCTAGCGCTACTAGAGGTATGAGATACGTGGAGAGACAGTTGCAAATTGCTCTGAGCAGGATTCGAAAGTATTTAGCTAGCGAGGGATTTATATTTTCGAAAGAGAAGACCGTTTGCGTGCGTTTTTGTAAAAAGCGCAAATCTCCATCCAGAGCCTGAGGTTCATCTTCAAGGTTCTCTGATTCCAGTTGTCCCTGAAGTAAAGTTCCGACCTATATATCAGAAATATGGGTGGGTGTGCTGCACCAAATTGTTCGAATGAGTCCAAAAATAACTTTAGGATGTTTGCTTTCGCCAGAAATGAGGAAAGACGAAGAAAATGGATAGTTTAATTCGGCTGTGTCTACCCGTACGCGTAATGGCAGACCGCACATTGAGTTGCACAGTGTTAAACGAATTTCGCTTACTGCGCATGCTTGATGGTGTACCTTTGGCGCGCGGAGAAATATTGGCGACTAAGCAACCCTACGTTAGCTTATTCGTGATCTCCATGGCTGTCGAGTGTGTTCGAGTGATGTTTAAAATTGCAATGTTGTGGAACTTTGCTTATTAGTTATTTTAACGTCTATGGTGATTTCCTATATGTTTTACCACCAATCCTCGAATTCCATATCACGATTTGTTCTTACGCTTAATATAAAAACAAGACATAGTGCACATAAAAATTAACTTTATTTGGACTTCGCGCGCACTCCCGACGCCGGCCTGTTCGTTCTGTCGACTCGTAGAATTCTCCTCTAGGGCCCCCAGCGCCGACGGCGTATTTCCAACCCTACCCCACTTTTCAATTTTTGACGTCACGGAAATATCGACTAGTTTGGCAAGACGCCTACCCCACTTTTGACTACTACGGTGCGCTTTCGAAAGAATTGTGCTCCTGAATAGTGTGTTTAGGTGCTAATTGTGAGATTTTCGCAATTTAAATTATTATGAGTGGAAATTTACGCAAAATCTTTAGTGAATGGTTATTGTTTAACGCCGTAGTGTATTTGAGGAAAGAGGAGAATAATTCACTGCTGATGTATACATGTATGTATGAAAAGTCTGGAAGGTGATACTCGGCAATAAATGTGCTGCATTTCATCGCAAAATTCAGCGACGCCAGTAAAATAAACGAAAGTGTTTGAAAAACTTATCCACATCTGAAGCCACTATACAAAAATTGTATGTGTGCCAATACAGCAATTTAAATAAAAAAAAAAAAAAAAAAAAAAAATTGCAGAAAACTTCAGATCAAGGAATAAGAAAGAATTGCAGTGCCTCTATGTGCTTAAAAACTACGAAGCATTCTGCAGACTTTCGTGCCAAAATCAAGTTTGACAAATAGATTAATACATTTTATTGTTTCTTTTAGTGTATATATTTCAAAATTATTAAAATAACTTGAACAGTTGTTCAAGTTGCTTAAAACAGCAATAAAGTTCATTTATAAAGATACACAAGGAACTTCATAATTCATTGCTTTGATGAACAACTGAAATTTACTAAATTACCTAACTTTATAACATTAAATATCTTTGTAACTGTGTTATTATGCTCTGTTTTATAAAAGCTTAACTACTTTTAACTAACTATAAAGCTTACTTATTTGTCAATAAATTTCCTATTATTTACTAAATGTAAAATAAGCGAAATATCTTTCGAGTCCGTTAATGAATTGCTTGGATAAGAATCCTTTGATCTTTAACGCCGCGCGGCGTGCAATGAATTGGAAGTTGATTTGTCAGCACTATCCTTATCTTAAGGGCAGATGTTTTTATTTTATTTGGCTTATAATTGCTTACTCAATGTAGTATTTCATCTCGATGTACTCCGTCTTTGATCTCATTATAATTCGCTTCCGATAGCGAAGAAAGTGACATAGGTTATTGAAAACGAAAAAATTTCGATTGACAAATCAGTCGGTATTCTCGACACAGCAATTATAGGACTTGAACAGCGGAACTTTGTAACTGAACAAGAAATTATATCTGTTTATAGAATTAAAGAGAATGTATTATCACATAAAAAACGAAACAACTTACATTGAAAGAAATGTTTAATAAAGTAAACAAATAAATATTAAGCTTTTTTTTTTGTAAATTTTGATACCCTTTAGATCATAATTGTTCTTTATTTCGTAAATTACGGTTTCATATTTTTACTTTTATAATTTCTGCATGCCATTTTACCAGATTTAAACTGATGATCTGTAATCCGGAAAAATCGATAATCCGGAATCGCCGAAGTCCCGACGAGTCCGGATTAACGACTTTTGACTGTATAACATTTGATTCTCGGTGTTCTTCCATATACTTACATTTGAATTTCACATTCCATGAGACACAGTATTGCAAAAAATATTACTAATGTCCTTACAGTTGTAACTATCAATTCTGTTATTTTTATAGTTGCATGCATACACACATACATATATCAATATTTAGATACACTGAGGGTATGTTAAAAATCACTACCTGTCAACAAAGTCGAGCTCATTAAAAAGTTATGTAATTACACATCAAAATGTTTTGCAATGTAATTTAGTACTTTTCTTTAAATATCAGATAAAAACTGAAAATGAGGCATGTAAAATCTACAAAGCAATTAAAACACTATTGCCTGAATCTAGATAACTTGTAAAAATACAATACAGTTATTCAGCTAATATGCTTAATAATTTCATTAATTCTGGATCAGTTAATATGTCCATTCTTAAGAAAGAGTATAATCTGTATCGTGCAATTTGCAAAGTTGCAGATTAATACCTTTTAATTTATTAGCCAGAACAAAAAAGAAAAAAAAGATTTTGTTAATAATTTGACATGTTTTTATTTCCACTTTCATTTTTTTCATACGTTACTGTTAATTTATTTCAAAATTATATTTTAAAATTTTGTTTGTTTACAGTCGAAATTGTGTTTCAAGAATGGATTACTACATTTAACCCTTTCTGACACTCTACATTTTAATGTTGGAATTTTGACAAAAAGAAAAAAAGAAAGGTAGGCAGTCTAATCAGGCCTAAAAGAATACACAGGAAAAATTTTGTGAGGATAGCACTTATCGTATTAATTCTGTCAGTGTTCCCAAACTGGGCACACTGAATGAAAAGAGTGCTGAAACAGGCATTGCTGGGAAGGGCGTAAAAGAGTAAGAGATTTTGTTTACGATTAAAAAACATTAGATTCTGAATACCATAGCAGATTTAGCATTCCCCGGGGTGTGCTGCTTTCTACATCCCCTAAAAAAAGCTCTTCTTGGTTATATGATGATTAGATGCATATGAATGGAAAAAATGTAACTTCGGTATATGATATTTACATTACATATTTACACTTTCGTCTATTTTGTTTATGGGGTACTTTTCGAAGAAAGTGGCACCAGCTTTAAAAAAGCATAACCCAATATTGCATGTTTTGTACATGTACTGTGATCTATATCATATTCACTGTCTGAAAGCTATTCGTGTAGCATTTTCAGTGCTTCAGAAATGGTCAGCCCTCTCCAATCCATTTGGAAAATACTTAAAAATCCAAAATAAATAAATAAATAAACTAATATTATATCTACAATTTGAAATTATAAACTATAAAACAAAATTAAATAAACGTCTACAACTAAAAACTATTAGTGCTCAGAAAGCTTCTTTCAGTGAAAGCAAAAAAAAAAAAAAAGAACTGCTCCAGTGAAAAACCAAACAGCTAACTGATAAAATTACCCCTGACCAATTTCAACCAACCTCCCATCAAAAAAATAAATAAATAAATAAAAGGGAAAAACAGAAAATGAAGCACAAATATGGATCCACCTTTCTATTGTGAAAGAGCTGCACAGAAATAAGGATACAATTGTTGGTCTTGTCTTAGTCTCTCAGTGAACCCACTCTGGGCACGCCTGATGTTCGCCGATTGATTTTAGGCAAGATTTCAAGGTAAAAATTTCTACCTAATATAGAATAAGGAGATTAAGGCAACATTTCAAGGTAAAAATTTCAAACTAATATAGAATAAGGAGATTAGCATATAGCCAAGAAAATAACATAGAAATTTCTTTTCAAACAATTTCTCTCATACAGTCAAAAGTCTTTAATCTAAATTCGTCGGGACTTCAGCGATTCCGGATTATAGATCATCAGTTTAAATCTAGTAAGATGGATTTTAAAAATGCTAATTTATATTTGCAATTCAGCATGCTCACTTCAATATCCATAGACTGAAAGACAGACCTAAAATTTTGGAGGGAAGATTAATACCGACACATTATCTTTCACTAAAACATTAAGTGACGTATGAACTGAACAGTTGTCTATACAATCAGGACTATTTTTGAGTCATCCCTCAGGTATAAAATGATTTTCAAACCAATCATTCATTAACGCTCGTGTCGTCTATGTTGTTTAATTTGCACAATACAGTCAAAAGTCGTTAATTCGGACACCCATAATCCGGATCTCAAAGCTAAAAACTTTCTGCGCATGCGCTGCGTTGACACATGCGCATAGGCGTTTACGCGTGCGCGTAAGACCTTTACGCGCACGCGCATATGCGTGTCCGCAAGTGCAGAATACGTTTTTGCGTGCGCGTTTAACGTATAACGGACGGTATAAGCTAAAATTATACAATTATCTATTTCAGTTAATGTTGATGCTTGCGTTATTCCTTAATCTTCGAATTGGATGCAGCTTATTATTTTTTGCAGACTGTAAGAGCAATTTTATAAAAGTAAACTTGAACTTTCGATTATGTCAATTTCCGATTCTGGAGCTCCCAAAGGATCTACAAAACGAAAGTATGTCTCGATGTCCGTCAAACAAAAAGTGGAATTGCTGCAAAAAAATGGATAAAGACATGAAGAAGGTGACAGAGAGGTTAGTGAAAACAAAAAATTTCGATTGACAAGTTAGTCGGTATTCTCGGCACAGCAATTACGGGACTTAAACAGCGGAGCTTTTTAACTGAACAAGAAATTATGTCTGTTTATAGAATTAAAGAGAAAGTATTATCACATAAAACGAAACAACTTATATTGAAAGAAATGTTTAATAAAGTACACAAATAAATATTAAGCTTCTTTTTTTGTAAATTTTGATACCCTTTAGATCATAATTGTTCTTTATTTTCTAAAATACGGTTTCATATTTTTAATTTTAGAATTTGTGCATGCCAGATTTAAACTGATGACCTATAATCCGGAAAAATCGATAATCCGGAATCGCCGAAGTCCCGACGAGTCCGGATTAACGACTTTTGACTGTATATGGGAAAGTTGTTACTCCTTTAAAAGCTCAAGGTCGTGCATGTTTTCCGATTAGAAAAAGTTTGCATTATAAAAAGCTTCTTATCCCTTAATTTTGACGCTCGATGCTTCCCCAAATTCCAAAAATTTTGTCTTCCCTAAATTCTGCCATCCGGTGCCAACATATTTTGCCGCCGCTTCTGGGTTTATGGTGAATAACATATCAGTTATTCTTAATTAAAATAGCACTAGGTATAATCTTTTGCCTTATGAGTTTCATTAACAAAATCTATTTTTAGCATATGAAAAGAAATTTTTGTTGAATTTTTCCTCGTCAACATGTCTTACAGCATTTAAAAATCTATAATCATCACCAAGCGTAATGTTAGCATAAAAGGTTGCCATACTCGTTATTCAATTCCTAATATAAAAAAAAAGTTTAGACATCATTGCATGAGTTATTACTGAAGCTGTCATTATATAGATAAACATACGGTTATGAAAGCAAAATATAATAAATAATGATTCACCAGGTCGGCGTCAGGGATATAAAATAGGTAAATGTTTCAGTTTAAGATGTATGCCAAGCAGACGCTCAGCTACGAAGCCAAATTATTAATCTCACAAATTTATGCTTACATGATTTTCTTCCATAACAAGGTATTTCATTTAATGCCTAAGTGAAATTACGAATCGGAATATTTAAGTGAAAATCTCCACATGTTTTATTATGGAAGGAAAAATCAAATGCACATGCTTTAAGCATACCAAAAAAAAAAAAAAAATGTTTGTGGCTTTGAGGTTCGGATTTTAGATCATTCTGGATAATGGATGTCCGGATTTCGGACTTTGTAGTGTATATCCGTAGAATTTCCAATATGCAGTATGGTGCGCTGGAGATAAAAATGTTTTCTTTCCCATACAGTGTTGCCATTACTCTTTTTGAAATCGTTGAACTTGTTAACCAAGATTTCCTTAAAGTTTTAAAAAATATGAAATAATTAATAAAACAAATTCCAAATTTGGGGTTCCAGATGCCCATATTTGGGTCAGACATACGTTATTCAAAATTTGATGGCTCTACGTACTGTTGTTTTATCACAGTGTGTGAGAAACATACATACATTTGTGTAGATTCTTTATTATTTAATTTCTTTAAATATAATACAGGGTGATAATATTTGCAACAATTTGAAAAGTGATTTGCATTTACAGTGATTCAAGACAAAATGCCAAAATGAAATTAATAGCTCTTCTTGGCTAACGTCTTTTGGACTAAAAAAAGTATCAACAACATGTACGGAAATCAATTAAAACTCTATGTTTATTTCAGAAAACAAATTTTAATTGCAACATTTTTAAAATTACATTATTATTTTGCTTGTTTCTTTATTGGCAAAACCATCACTGACATTGTAAATCTCCATGGTCTTGCTATTATGTGACAATCTGTATTTCTCTTTCCCAGCATTACATGTAGTAAAACTTTACTTATTTTTGTTAGTATTACAGTACAAAGTCTGTAACCCGGATGTCCATTATACAGAATGATCTATAATCCAGACTTCAAAGCCACAAACTTGCGCATGCGCGTTTAGCACAAAAAACGAAGCAACTTAAACAACTTACATTGAAAGAAATGTTTAATAAAGTAAACAAATAAATATTAAAAAAATTTTTCAGAGTCACATCGAAGGGAAAAAAAAACTTTATTTGCACAATAAGCTTTGGTTTTGCTAAAAAGAACAACAGCTGCACACTGTTACTGTAAAGTTCTCAGTGCAGTCCAAAATTTATCTTTTTAACTTGGAATACACCACGTTGACTTCAAATCCTTGCAAATGAGATGAGTATAAATATCTGTTTGTGATTTTCTTTTTGTGTTACATAAATATGAGAAGTTTCTTTAAAAAGTCATCTATCTAAATATCACTCCTATTGAACAGATAGTGTTTGTGCAGCTCAATTTAGTCATTTAAGCAACTTAGGCAAATTAAATTTTCTTGAGCATGTCTGACACCAGCATGCCAAGCTGTGTATGAATTTCTGACTAGACAGCAGCTGGAAAAACTACTCAACAACTAAAAATATAGCAAAAATTATTAAGTATTTCTTCCAGTAATTTTATTCCTGTTGCTAAGCCATAAAATTCAATAAACTGTAAAAGAATTGCATAGTTAGAAGATACATATAGAATGCATTTCTATCGCAAATAACAGAGCTGTGCGTGAACTCTGTATTATACGCAGAAAGAGCAAAGTTTAACATACTGTGATAAAATACTTAGCAGACCTTCAGAATTTCAAAAAAAAAAAAAAATGATGCGTATAGCATATTTTGGCAGAAGATTAACACCACTAAATGGTTGAGAATGAGAAGTGACTATCATAAAAAAAGGACATTTAAAAAATTAGTATATTTCCATTTCACTGGCTGAAATCTCGCCAAGCAGACTTTATTGGCGACAACACAGAATATAACATTAAAAATGTAGACAAATGTTAGTTCTAAGAATTTTTTATTTTGAAGGTATAAACATTTTAATGTCATTAAATTTTGTAAAAAGCCAATAAATAAAGACAATCAACTTGTAAAAAGACATTAATTTAAGAATTTACCATGATCCTGATTCGCCGATTCATTTCACGTGACTTCAAGTGATCTCAATCTATAAAAATCTAATTCTCTCAGTAATTATCTACATCAATTTCAGGTTAAATCTTAATTTGGAATACAAGTTTAAATGAAAGAATTATTTCAATATGTGCGAATAGCTTTCTCAGAAATTATGTAAAACCACAGTGCTTTACTTTGATTGTGCATTCATTCTCTTTAGAATTGATGAATTTAACACTTGACTTTGCATTTTCTATATTTTTGCCATCAGGTGAGTAATGCGATTGCATCCTAACTGACTTAATTACTGCCTGCGAATGGCCTTAGTGCATAAAATTGAACTATCTGGTAGGAGAAAGTGCAGAATCACGCACTGCTTGTCACGTTTTTAAGAATTGATCATACTCGGTCTCCATGTACACATCGAACTATTTTCACTTGAAAAAATCCCAGAATTGTACAAAAATGGCATTGCGCACTCCCTCGACTTTATCCATGTACACATTGACCTATTTTCACTTAAAAAGTCAAAGAAATTTTACAAAAATCCAATTCTTCTTACTTTTTTAAAAAGCGCCAAACAAATGAGTGGGCAATTCTGCACTTTACCAAAAATTCTATGTAATTGTATGTCAGTATTGAAAGAAACAATATGATAATTGAACTATCTGGTAAAAATTTTATGTAATTGTATGCCAGTACTGAAAGAAACAATCTGATAAGAAATGGCTATGACTTGTTTTCAAAATGAGTAGTAAAAGGTTACCAGTGAGGATATTCCGTTAAGCATTGGTTACACCATTCTTGGCGACTTCATCACCTGCACCGGCAAAACGGAAAAGTACCAAAAAATTTTCAAAGACCCACATCAAAGGAAAAAAAACCTTATTTGCACAAGAAGTTTTGGTTTTGCTAAAAAGAACAAAAGCTGCACACTGTTACTATAGAATTCTCAGTGCAGTCCAAAATTTATCTTTTTAACTTGGAATACTGTGTACACCACCTTGACTTTAAGTGTCTGATTAGTTTTGGTAAGTGAGAAATATCAACCTGAAGCGCCAATAATGTCACAAAAAATTATATTCGACATCTTTGTAATTTTTATAAACGTTGTGTATAGGGCAATTCATTGTGAAGGATTCAAATTTAGGGATGGAAAAATGCAAGGCCCATAACATTTTCTTATTCTGATTAACAGAAATCAGCCTCATAACATTTAAATTGGTATATGAGGTTCTTTAAAGCTTTCTTTTGTTGCAAAATGCTGTGGCTATTTTGGTATAAGTCAGCAAACCATTAAAACAGTTAATTTATGCTATAAACAAGATTTTCCTGATGTGAAAAGAAACAAAATTTTTTCCTGTGAAAAAAAAAAGATTTACTAACAACCAAGATAAAATGACAAGTTACACACCTCATATAATGAGATTTCTTTATAATATTGACACATCCATTCACAAATAAATAAAAATGTCATTGTTAAACTAACTGTTCCTCGTGACGTGAGGCTTTTGTTCTTTGTAGTATGCTCCTTGAAATTCTTTTTTGTTTAAGTAATGTGTTACAAGCAAAATTCATAACATCTCTGTGTGAATAAGTACATGTTTATTTAATTCATACTTTTGTCTGAAAGATCTGTTACAGAGTTCACACATATATGGTTTATCTCCTGAGTGAATAAGCATGTTTCTTTAAATCACACTTAACTCTGAATGATTTGCTACATGCTTCACACACATGAGGTTTCTCTCCAGTGTGAATAAGCATATGCTCATTCAAAGAGCTCTTTCGTCTCAGTGACTTATTACATACCACACATATATAAGGTTTCTCCCCTGTGTGAATAACTACATGCCTATATAAATTAGACTTTCGTCTGAATGATTTGTTGCATACCTCACATGCATAAGATTTCTCATCTATGTGAATAAGCATATGCACCTTTAAATGATCCTTTTGTCTGAATGACTTGTAACATACCTCACACACATGAGGTTTTGCTCTTGTGTGAATAAGCATATGCACCTTTAACTGACCCTTTACTCTGAATAACTTATAACATACCTCGCACACATGAGGTTTCTCTTCTGTGTGAATAAGCATGTGCTTGTTTAAATCAGACTTTTGTCTAAAGGATTTGTTACATACCAGACACACATGAAGTTTCTCTCCCGAGTGAATAAGCATATGCTTGTTTAATACAGCTTTTAATCTAAATGACTTGTTACATACCTCACAAATGTGAGGTTTCTCTCCTGTGTGAATAAGCAAATGCTTGTTTAAATCACCCTTCTGTCTAAATGACGTTTCACACACCTCACACACAAGAGATTTCTCTCCTGAATGAATAAGCATATGCCTATTTAAATCATCCTTTAGTCTAAATGCCCAATTACACCACTCACACACATGAGGTTTTTCTCCTGTGTGAAGAAGCATATGTTCGTTTAAGCGGTACTTTTTTCTAAATGTTTTGTTGCATACCCCACAGACATGAGGTTTCTCTTCTGCAAGAAATAACGTATGATCCTTTACAGTACTTATTTGAAATAAATGATTATGTACTTCACACATGAGGTTCATTTCTTTTCACTGATATAGCTTTACCGAAATATTTAATTAAATGTTTAATGTTAATTAATGTAAATGTTTCGAAATGTTTGGTTTGTTATTCCTAGCATGAAGTTGCTTCCTTATACAAGAGATATATATGCTGAAAGCTTTATAGGTGCCATTAAGCTCACATCGTACGTCACGATATAGATTCACCCGTGGAGCGGAACTAAAAGGGATAACAGAAATTCCATCAAAACTATTTATTGGTCGCTTCCACAACATCTTTCAGTATCTTTGTCAAATACACATGTGGTTATGTTTATAAAAATATATTGTGTACAAGTCTTATCTGTTGATGATTTCTAAAAGTTGTATTTTTAAGCCATATTTGTTTTAAAATGAAACATTAGAAATTAATAAATAAATAAAAAAAAACTTTTTAAAGTTACATTTATCACAGCAAGAGCTCCCCAATATCGTAAAAACAGGCCACATTTTCCAAGACCATAACGTTTTTCTAATGATGCCAGATACGTAATTCAAATTTTAAGCATTAACATTGCCAAATGTCAAAACTTAAGATTATATTTTTATATACAGATACCATCAGTTTTCCCCTTATTTGTGTTGAATGACTTAATTTTAATCACTCTGTTAAGCCCAGGTAGATATTTTGTTCATATCTGCTTCTTGATTTATACAGATCACTCAAACTGATGTGGCGTTTGCGTTTGAACACTGAAAAGCTATCTGTCTTGCGATTTTATTTTTGCTCGAGTAGCAACAGCAAAAGATGTCAGAAAAAAAGTAAACATATCAGCTTGTTAACAATAAAGGAAACTAGTTATCATTTTTCCCTAGCTAATAAACATGTTTAAAAAAGTTTGTTCTTTACAGTATACAGTAAATATATTTGTTCTTAATCAACGAACCTATACTGAGCAATCATCATCATAGATTCAACCGCTGAGCCTCTAGGGACAAGGTATGATCTGCGTCATTTCCTATTAATCTTTTAGTCTGTACTTGAAGAGTGGTGCACTAGTGTGTCCGGGCGACGGGCACTAACAGAAATCGAACGAAATTCAGAGTCCCTATTTAAAAGTAAGGTATTAATCTAGAAAGCTGTTCGGCTCACTAATACATAAGATAAGCGCAAATTACTCAATGCCAGAATAAATGCATAATTTTAACAAATTATAAAGTAGAACAAATTGAGATAAATTTACAAGGCAGTATATGAAAAAAATGTATCAATCCTCTAAAATTAGACTAGGGCTATGTGTTGCCGTAGGGCTTTTGTTATTAGCAGTACTCCTGTAATCATAGTTGTAGATATTCAGTTCAGTATTGTATTGGGTTCTCATCTTGGCATGAAGTTTTTTTCTAAATGATAATAATAAGCACTGAATTGAACAACTTTTAGTTATGAATTCTGTTATTGCACACATACCTATTCAATTTTTGCAAAGTACTTTAGAATATTATTCAGAGAACAGTTTTGACACCAAACAACGGAGAAGTCGCTTATTGTAGCTATCCAGATTATAATTGTTACCGAATGACATAGTTTCTTTGGGAAGATAGCTATGACATTTTATTCCACTAAAGGATTTCCTCAGTGCAAGGGTGAGTTTACTTAGAAAAATATTGTCCTTTTTTTTTTTTTTTTTTTTTTTTTATGTGGAATAAAATAGTTACAATATATGCCCGCATATAACGCACACTGTTAATACAAAAAATAAGATCGAAATTTACTCGTGAGCATTGTACTCCAGTTATAAAAAAGAAAAGGGTAAAAATACATTTCAGGGTACCCTTCAGTGATTTTTTTGGCGCCATTCCTGTGTATGTCCAACATCTCTCCCACTAAAATAGTGTCTGAAATGTAATGCAATAAAACATAATTAAAACAAAAATTATATAATCTCAATAAACTGCATTTCAAATCAAACAATGAAATAATGTAAAAAAGTAAATACAGTACAAAGTCTCTAATCCGGAATGATCTACAATCCGGACCTCAAAGCTACAAACTTTATGCGCATGCATAAACGCATAATGCTTTTACGCATGCACATAATGCATTTATGCATGCGCCTTTAATGTATAAGGGACGGTATAATCTAAGCTAAAATTATCTAAGGCATTTCAGTTAATGTTGCAGATTGCGCTGTTCCATCTTCTAATTGGATCTGGCTTATTATATTTTGCAGACTGTTAGAACAATTTTATAAAAATTAAGTTCTATATTTCATAAATTACGATTTCATATTTTTAATTGTATAATTTCTGGATGCCATCTTACCAGATTTAAATTCATGATCTATAATCCGGAAAACCCCTAATCTGGAATTGCTGAAGTCCCGACGAGTCCGGACTATGGACTTTGTACTGTACATGTATCTCATCTATGCACTACAAAAATGAAATACAGTACAAAGTCCGTAATCCAGACTCATCGAGACTTAAGATTAAGGCAATTTTGGATTAGGGGTTTTTCTGGATTATAGATCATCAATTTAAATCTGGTAAGATGGCATGCAGAAACTATACAATCAAAAATATGAAACCACAATTTATGAAATAAAGAGCAATTATGATATAAAGGATATCAAAATTAAAAAGAAAAGCTTAATATTTATTTGTTTACTTTATTAAACATTTCTTTCAATGTGAGGTGTTTAAGTTGCTTCCACAAAAAATTCAAAATGTACCTTTTTTCTTATGTCATATACAATCGACTTTCTAATGCCATATTCCTCGCATAATTTTGAGACGCATATGCCTTTATCCATTTTTTGCAGCAATTCCACTTTTTGTTTAATGGACATTGAAACATGGTTTTGCTTTGTAGATCCGGGTTTTCATCCGCAGAGGACCCGTTGGCGCCATTGCATTTTTACTCGCCAAGCTCGCGGTTCATCGACGGTGAGTCGTAAACGTGATTTTTAGTGCATGTAAATTCAAGTTAGCAGACAAAACAATATATTAAGCATATGGTAGTAAAAATTCACAGATAATAAGCATGCAGACGTAAACGTGATATACGAAAATAAACCTGTCTTTTTTATAATATATTTCACAATACAAATAACCTTCAATAGTAATCAAATTTTCTTTAGTAGCATTGTTAATAAAATTAGAACTTTATACATTTTATTATTTTTCAAGAGTTATTTGAACTGTATTCCTTACACCAGCAGTGGTTTGCTAATTTTGATGACCATGGGGATGCATCAAACTACTCTGTCGTCTTAGATAATCAATAATATTTTTTATTTCCATTTAATCAGTTATTTATGTCACACCTGTGATCCTCGGAAAGGTTATTGTTAGAAAAGCATTAACCATAGTATCTTAATAAAATTTTACGCCATAAAAATTGGAGCCGAGAACTGGCATCTATCGACGAAAACTTCTTTAATTATACGAAAATATTTCTATCTATTCGTTGTTAAAAAATTCAGGAAAAATAATGTGGAAAATCAGAAAAATAATAATAAATAAGAGAAGAAGAATCTAAATCTCCAAATGAGAACAACGACAGTGATAATTCAACAAAATGAACTCAAGAGGAATGGTTGCAACCTTCAAACAAGCGAATAGGATGAATCCGATAGGTTACCAGGTTTGACCTATTATAGCCAAAGTTGGCGATGTTTACATTTACCGGGTTCTCTGCGGAAGTGCTTCCGTAGATCCTTAGGGAGCCCTGGAATTGGAAACTCTTTTTGACATAGTCAAAAGTTCAAGCTTAATTTTTATAAAATTGCTCCAACAGTCTGCAAGAAATAATAGGCCGGATCCAATTAGAAGATTAAGGAACAGTGCAATCTGTAACATCAACTGAAATGCCTTAGTATCAGTAAAGATAATTAATTTTACCTAGCTTATACCGTCCGTTATACATTAAACGTGCATGCGTAAAGCATACAAAAAAAAAGTTTGTGGCTTTGAGGTCCGGATTATGGACTGTACAGTGTGGACTTACCTTACTTCAGAATTTCCGTGTTTTGAGTCTGTGGCACACAAAATTCCTTAACAGAATCCAAAAACTTTCTAAAATTATCTCATCTAGAATCTGTATACTGTTTTCGCCACATGAATTCACAAAAAACAAGAATAAAAAATATCCTCTGTAGTACCAGACAAATGCATTTCAAAGCCACCTGAATGATGTTTATGTTTGATCATATGCATTTCTTTCATATAAACGGGACAATATGAATGACTACTAAGTAAACCTTCATTTATACACCAATCAATTAATGCTTTTTTCCCCTTTCGTTCCAAATCGTACAGAAACTTCAGATTAATCTTATCACATACAGCCATTTTACGGTGTAAAGCACAAAATAAACAATGTACTTCCTAACCAACATCCAGCACATAAATAAGCCCTTACAAATGTTTTCCCATCAGTCGAATTCATGCAACCAATCAGGTCACAATAATGTTTCCATAACATTCAACAACCTACCATAAATGAAACAACAATGTGGCGATAATCCAAGGGGCACCTAAAAATATAGACTAACCATGGTAGGTTTAAAAATAAGGAAATAAAGCAAAAATAAATACATAAAATTTCTATATGTACATCAAAGCTGTTTATTTAAAAGATTGACATATCTTATGAACTTAAAAATTTTCATTATCGGATAACGTGAAAGTTCATTATATTCATCTTCTGTTATATCTTCAGTCATTTCATTGATCAATCACTACTGCTACTGTGATCCATAAATAGATAATCACATTCCGTTCCACACTATTTGATATACTGAACTTTTTAAATGACTTTCGGCTTATGTTGGGTTTGATTTCAACATAAGCTTTTATTATTCACTCACACACTATTTCTAAAGTGGCATAATGCAATTGGCCTCCTTTCGTAAATATTTTGTAACCATTTAACATACATATATTCTATTGTCATTGTAAATTTTCTTTGAATGGTTTGTTGACACACACATCCAAAGGCTGAACTGAGGGTGTTAATTGGGTTGAAATAACTGCCATTGTCTGTATTACATTCTTTCAATAATTTCTTTGTATTATCCATTAGATGAGATCTGAACATGTTCCAGACTAAAAAACTTTCTGGAATCTTGAATGGCAAAATGACACTTTTGCCAAACATTTCTTATCCACAATTTCATACCATTTTCATCCAACAATCCTTTCTCGAACATGAATGAAAACACCATTTGGGAAATTACATTTTGGCATCGTAATTTCCATCGTCTTTTCAAAATAATCGTGGTTTTAATTTTGAACCGTGCACTTTGCAGGAAAAGTGAAGTGAGATATTTTGTGGCCCAGTGTTTTTATTTGAACTGTGTTTGTTCTTTTCACATCGTTTTATTTCCTATCATATCAAACTTCACTGGAATTTCATCCATATCCAATATGTGACAATAAATACTTTTTTGTCATCATAGGTCTTCTGGAAACTAAGCAATTAATTATCCAAATTTTTAGGAAACCTTTTTATTCTCATAGAACTAAATTATTCCATACCAAAAATCCACTACACCAACTCAAGATTGCTTTAAAGTTTTCACTTCCATTATAATTCTTTTTGGCCCACTTTAAAGCAAATAAACATATACTGTTTCTTGTTACAATTAACCCCTTAATTGCCATGGAAAACGTACAAGATTCATTTCCCAGTGCCACAGTTTTTCACACAGGCTCGCATAGTTATGTGATGTATTAGGGGGAAAATAAGTGCAAGTTTTAATTTCTAAAAACTGTTTACTTTCACAAAATAAAGAATAAAAGAAAAAAATTAATGCACAGAATTTAATGTTTTGAGTAAAAGTATAATAAAAATGATGCTTTTATAATAAAAAAATATCCCTAAAATGAAGTTTCGATCAATTCATTTTTAGACCAGTAAAGTGTAATATCAGGTTTCAGTGTTATACCTTGTGAAATCAGTATGCCTAAAAAAACATATTTCTTCTGAACTGGTTGAATCCCACGATTTTGTTCTTGACTTTTCATTTGTAAGGTGTTGGTTCATATACTCGTCTACAAAACGGTTAGTTTCAGTAACAATATGAAGCACGAGTAGTTCATCAAAAAATAATTCAAAAAAGATAAATGGGTTTGAAACATCCATTATATCTTTCTTTATTCCTGGAGCCTACTACAAAAAGTAAACGAAAACTAAGGACACAATAAAAAAAGTATGTTTTACTCAAACAACACCAGCCAATATCGCACAGTCATTACTTTCACGGCTTTAGACACAGCCTTCTCTCTAGTTTCTCCCCACACTCCTCTGATATAGTATCCTCCTTCGCATACTTTGTCAAGGTCATTGTGGTGTTGCATTCTAAAGCTTCGCGAATAATTTTACGGGTAGCAACGCAAAGCAAATGCTAGTATTTTGGAAGGGCATATACAGTCAAAAGTCCTTAATCCGGACTCGTCGGGACTTCGGCGATTCCGGATTATCGATTTTTCCGGATTATAGATCATCAGTTTAAATCTCGTAAGATGGCATGCAGAAATTCTAAAATTAAAAATGTGAAACCGTAATTTATGAAATAAAGAACAATTATGATCTAAAGGGTATCAAAATTTGCAAAAAGAAAAAGCTTAATATTTATTTGTTTACTTTATTAAACATTTCTTTCAATGTAAGTTGTTTAAGTTTTGCTTCGTTTCATGTGATAATACTTTCTATTTAATTCTATTGAACAGACATAATTTCTTGTTCAGTTACAAAGTTCCGCCGTTCAAGTCCTATAATTGCTGTGTCAAGAACACCGACTAATTTGTCAATCGAAATTTTTTTGTTTTCAATAACCTCTGTCAATTTTCTTCGCTATCGGAAGCGAATTATAATGACGAGGAACTTGTTTTAAATCATATCAAAGACGGAGCATATCGAGATGAAATACTACATTTGGTAAGGAATTATATGCCAAATAAAAACATCTGCGCTGAAGATAAGGATAGTGCTGACAAATCAACTTCCAATTCATTAGGCGCCCGCGGCCGAGCAACGTGAAATTGATAAACAGATTTCGGATTTCAAAACATACTTTCGCTTTAGATCCTTTACATATTAACAAATATATATCGGAAATTCTATTTGATATAATCGAAAGTTTACGCTTACTTTTATAAAATTGCTCTTACAGTCTGCAAAAAATAATAAGCCGGATGCAATTCGAAAATTAAGGAACAACGCAATCATCAAAATTAACTGAAATAGCTAATTAGATAATTTTAGCTTATACGTCCATTATACATAAAATGCGCATGCGAAAACGTATTCTGCACTTGCGCACACTCATATGCGCAGTCGTAAAATGTCTTACGCGCACGCGTGAACGCCTCTGCGCATGTGTCAACGTGGCGCATGCGCAGAAAGTTTTTAGTTTTGATGTCCGGATTATAGATCATTCCGAATTATGGGTGTCCGAATTAACGACTTTTGACTGTATAACGCCTATGGCAGTTAACGCATCGGCTGAGCAATTCATATATATATGCCCGCGGTAGTTAAGGGGTTAATGCATTTCCACACTTTTCTAAGACCCATTTTGCAACACTTTCTTCTAAAAAAGGCCTTTTTGTTACTCCGTTACACAAATCATATTTATTCTTTGGTATATTAATTATTGTGATCTCACTTTTGTTCCAATCATGTATGGAGCTTTCATACATGTTGCTATGCATGAACACCAAACATACTTGCTATGCACGATTTCCATTTTCTTTTGCAAAATGAATGGCTTTGCATTTGAAACCAGCACTGTGTTTGTTTCTTTTCACAGGAGCCATATTTACTACTAAAAGGAACACCAGATCAACTAAAGCAAATGCGATTTACTAAAGATTTAAATTTATTTCAACTAAAGCAAATGCGATTTACTAAAGCCTTCAATATAATAGCTTCAAATGACTACAGAAAGAGAAAACATCTATTCGAGGAATTCTCTTGTTCAAGGAAAAACATGTGAACAATTTCCTTTAAAGTAGTGCCGGATAGCAAGGTACCTATAACAAGCTGTGTTACAGCAGAAAAGAAGAAAATAATTAATTATAAAACATCTGTGCAAATTTTTGCAGAAAATGATGTAAGATTTATAAATTTTTCTCACACATTAATGCTTACCAATATTGTGTTTTACTTTATTAAAAAGATTAAGTGTATATCAGTTAGTTGAAAAATATTCCCGAGACCCTGGATAATATCTTCCAAACTTTTAAATGGAATAACATATAAATGGATATTCATAGTTCATGAATAGTTCTTCTAAATTATTGAAGTAGTTGAATTCATGAACTATCTGCTTATCAAAAAGCCAGTTTTCTCTTATGAATATTAATTGCAGTGCCCTAGAATTTATGCCACTAAATTTCCATTTATTTCATCATGGTGTGTTTTAATAATGTAGCTGTTAGAATCAAGTTTTTAATCAATATGCATAAATATCAAAAATTAAATTTATTCAGTACCTTCTACTGTAGATATTAAGAGTTAAGCCAAATGAATATAAAGAAGACACAGATGTTCTGAAGTTCTTTGTTAAATGCAGTCGGTTTTGACGAACTTATCTTACCTGTGTATACCAGCAGCTATAATATCACCAGCAATAGCAATACTGGAACAATATTTTAATATAAAAGGATGCTTTTATAAGAATTTATATTTAATTATAAATTTTTATGGGAGATTGCAGAGTTTTTACTTTAAATATTAAATTATTGTGTATATTTAATCCTTGAAAAATCAGTGATTGTGTTAATCCATAGTTGAAGATATATTAAAATATGCATTATGTAAATGCATTAGAATTATACTGGTCTGTTTTGTGTGATCTTTTCAATGAATATGTTTGAAAATCTTTTTTAGCTTTTTTATATGACTTAAAAAAAAATACAAACAAATTACGTAGTTCAGAAAATTTTAAAAAATTTTTAAATGTATCTTTTGAATATATAAAGCATATATAGATAGTACTTTTTATCACTTACTTCTATAAAATAAAGAAAAATCTATTATGAAAAATTATTAATTTCACAGCTACAATGAACTGTTTTATATAGAGCATCACAAATCTATGAAATTTTCTTTATGACATTTATATTGTAATATGCAAAATATGTGTTTATGTTATCAGGTTAATAGTCAGTTACAAAAAAAAAAAAAAAAAAAAAAAGTTTTAAAGAGTACAAAATGATAGGTACTCTTCTATTATCGGGATCGGATTCAAAAATGTAAGTTCAGAAATAATGTTCAGAATTCATAAAGATGTAAGCACATCTTTATGAATGTATGTGTATAAAACACACACATACATACTTAATATATACATGCATACATGAGCACCTTATTTTATAAATGCATGCATATACACATACATTTCTGAATCTGGTCCTGATAACAGAAGACTACCAAATTGTTCATTAATTTTGAACTTTGGCGTCACTACCCTCACATAATTAAGTGTCAGAGCCAAATTGCAGAATTCTGGTAGCTTGGTAGATTATAGTGCTTCGAAATAATTTTACGCAGTAAGGAAGATAATGTTACAAATTCCTAAAACACAAAATACTTCCTCACCATTTTGGTAAGTGAACACTAATTGACTACATGATTTGAACACAAGAATGTCTGTACATGTAAATTTAAGTATTTGCACAGATGATCTCAGAATTTCATTAATTTGTTATATTTTTTATTACAGATTCAGACTGCCATTTGTGAGGGCGCTGGTGGATCTCATCCTGTAAGCTGCACGCATGTTTTTGCAATGCTTTGTGCATTGGTTGATTATAGTTAAAAAAATAATTATATGAAGCTTCAACTGAACAACTATAAAAATCGCATTAGCCATAGCCAAAAAAATTCATATCACCAAAAAATAGTGGATACATTAAAGCCACCTGCCTTCAATTAATCAACCGTGAATTCAGTTAACTATTCAGCACTTTTCTGAGTAAACTGCAGTTTCCAAATATTCTCTCTAATGGCATATACAGGCGTCAATTTAAAGTCAGAATAATGTATCTGTCTGCATTGGTATGCAGCAGGCACCAGGCATTGGTATGCGCCAGGCTTAAAATGCCTGACTTTTTAGATATTGAAGATGTCCTTTATTTTCATCAGAATATAAAAATTACCCTAGAAAAAAGCTTGGGATCTAGATTTACAAACCACAGAACTGAAGCATTTGTTTAACAAACGCCATGAAATAAGATTAACAGCTTCAGCCCTTTCACAGCATTGCTTGCGGGATAGCTGACTTTGATGCATTGGCAGCAAATAAATGTAACAATCATAAAAAAAAAGACCTGAGCAAATTACGAGCAGTCTCATTTGGTTCCAGGCATGAAAGTGTCATTAGAAATTTCATTAGGAGCCAAAATAAATCTTGTATTTTGAGAAAAGTTGGATTTGTTACTAATCCAAACATTACATTTCTGTATGCATCATGATGGATGATTGTTTAGTAAGGAAAATATTCAGGTAAATAGGCTGTCTCAATGGCCATTTTTGTGGTTTTTCCATGTAAAACATGGATACAAGAAAGTCCTCCACAAAGGCATCTCTCCTCTTAAGTAGATAGACCTTGACTGCTTTGCCACAAACAAATAAACCAAATCTGTGGGGAAAAAATATATTAATGTTTATGTTATGTAATTTTTGTATAACACAAACATTGACAGTTCTTGCTCATAGTGCAAACAAAACATTGAATTTTGCATTAGCAGGAATGCAAAAAATCACAAATTTTCAGTAATTACAAAAGGCAATCAATATTCAGACAAAATTTTTTAAATACTTTACATTATTCATGCAGATTAAAATTTTTGATTGAAGTTTTACAAATATAAAAATATAGTTATCAATAAGCCCAATAAAAGTGATAAAAATAAACTTATTAATGGAGTCAAAATGGCTGGAAGTGAAGAATCGAATGAGTGATGCAATAAAAGCTGGTTGGAGGCTCAATAAGGAAAGGAAGGGAGAATTGAGACAGCACTGGCTGACGAGGTTGTACGTATGTTAAATGTATGTGAATCATTCGTGATAACTCATGTTGTGCAAGAATGTAAAAATAGTATGATTGTAGAAATAAATGTGTGTATTGTGAAACAATACTTTTATACTGCTTGAATATTTTCACAAAAAGCGAACATTTTAAGGTTGATGAAGGATATTATATTTTAATTGAAAAAAGACAATTTGTCCTCCGTTTGTATACTACAAGGTAACTTTTTCAGTAGAAAAATTTTATCAGTATAAATTAACCATTGTCTTTTCAGAAATGCATATACTATATCATATAAAGGCAGAATAATGCTTATTAATAAAGATGATTACTTTTCCTCCTTAAAGCATGGCCAGGTTATTGAGGAGAATGAACAGTGGAAAAGTTACAATTAATTGGCATGTTTCATTAAAAGTTATAATTTATGAATTATATCTTTCACATAAATTTTCATGTAAACACCAAGAAAGAATTTTCACAAATGAACATTATCTATGGAGGAGCATTTAAATAATTTGAATATTCCTCACTCTCTCTGTTTGCATGACTTGTCTTTCATTGATTTGCACCAAAAATATGTAACAGTGTTCAGTCACTGACAGCTTTTCTGATATAATTAAAAACTTACATTGATTACCCCTACTTTTCTCACTCACAGTGCTACATATGTATATGTAAGATAAAAAAATACATAAATAAAAATTATAATTTACATTAATGGTAGCCCTTTAACTCTCCCTCTCTATTCTAAAAATCATAATAACTTCTCTGGATTGCATCATTTCTAGAACAATCCATCTTGTATGGCCTGTGCAAAACTAATGATGCAAGCCTGAGAACTGAAACCCTTTTAACTGAAACCAAAACCCTTCTCTTAACAGACTGCCATATTGAATAAATGTGCAGTTAGCTTGCAGCCACTTTGATGCTGTGCTTTATTGTGCTGCTAACTACACTGTTATTTAAAATGTGATGTTCTATATAAAATTGTGGTGTGCATATTGAGTTCATGATCATGTGTAATAAAAACTATGGTTTCAATAATTATTCGATAAACTATTCGTTAAGATGCTGGCATTATGCTTTTCTTCCTATCACAATAGCATCAAAAATGTAAACTTTCTTGAATAGGCATGATTAGAGTGCCAAGTAAATTTTAGCTGAAAATGTCAGTTGAAATAAAGATGAATATTTAATATGCATTGACTGCCAAGTTTGCTAATTATTACCGATTCCACATTCTACGCCATGAATATTGCAACTTTTTTTTTTTTTTTTTTCATTACAATGATGAAATGCCATATTTTCCCACCTACATCATCAGCTGTTTCTAGAACATTCATTACTTCTCACATTGCTTATCATTACATATATATATCCACTCTGTTACTCGGCTCGGTCAGCTCAGTTTTTTATTCTTATATATTAGTAAAACATGCATTTTTTGCTCTAAAAGTGATTGAATTATGTTGTTCTTATGTTCCAGTTAAGGTTTTTATGCCTTTAGTAAATATACATGCAACAGTTGTAGAATTATCAATAATTTAAAAGTTTAAGTGGTACTAAGTCCAAAAAGGCTGCTATTTGTTTACATTTGAAATTCTTAGTAGAATAATGAATTAAATAAGCTTGTGCACCAACTTTAGTACCTTTTTGTTAGTGGGACCAAAAGTAAACTTTCAATTCTGTGAAATGAAAAATTTGTCTTCCTGCCTGCTGGCCGAATTGTTTGGTTTTGTGTAAAACTCTAATTTTAATTGTAAAAATTGTTTTTTTTTTTTTTTTAACTGTTTTTAACTATATTTGGTGTTTAATGTTTTTCTGCATTTTACAATTTTTCATTGAAGATGTTTTCAGTTTGTATGTATTTTTTCCTCGCCACAAAGTGAGAATTGAATTAATTGAATGAGAAATATATCTCTAATGAAATTCGAAGAAATAAATTTAAATGAAATGCAGCAAAAAATGTATACAATTTAATTGACCACACAAGGAAGTCATCTGGTAGATGTTTCAACTACCATTTCATGTGCATTTCTACATACTTGCTACATACTACATACGTTACATACTTGCTGCAAAATTTTGTTCTGATAATATTACCGCCATTACTTTTCATTTGCACATTTATATATGCAGGGAATCTTACTTCTGGTTTTGAATCTTTTAGTTACCTTTTAGTTCATGCACCTGTAAATGCATTGGCTGTACAACTGTTCGTGTGACTTTTCCCTCTTTTAGCATGAATATAATTCCGTTTTTAGGATGTCCTCCACAACAACATCCCTTCCTTTAAGTAAGTAGCCATTGTGTGTTTTCCCCTATCCAAATAAAATCCCCCCCCAAAAAAAAACTTGGAGGCTTTTTTTTGCTGAACACATGGGACTTGTGATCAAGTAAAATAATTCACAGACTAAAAAAGGTAATTCAGAGGCACGTTCAAGTATGCAGCAGTTCAAGCAGAAATCACTGATGCAAAATTTCAATGATCAAATTTAATAAATAATGAATTAAATAGATTTTATGGAGTTGAATTTGTCATTGTATTGCACAATCACTGACTGATATGTGCTTAATCATTTTGGATTTGACCAGTCCACAAATATATATCAAATATTAAAGAAAATGTAGGTGAGCTATAGTATTTAAACAATACTTTATCAAACATACACATCAATTGTAAAATCCAGATAGTCAACACCTAAAATAAATTCTTCAGCCTTGTAACTATGTAATATTTTTATTGTTTATTGAATTTTATTGCTTAGCAACGGGAATCAAATTACTGGAAAACATACTTATTATCTGTTGTTATATTTTTAGTTCTTGGGTAGTTTTTCTGGCTGCTGTCTAATCAGAAATTCATACACAACTTGGCATGCAAGTATCAGACATGCTCAATGAAATTAAATTTGCCTAAGTTGCTTAAATAATTAAAGTGAGTTACACAAGTACTATCTGTTCAATACGAGTGATATTTTCATAGATGAATTTTTAAAGAAATTTTCTCATATTCATATAACACAAAAAGAAATCACAAAAAGATCTATGTACTTCACACGTTTGCAAAGATTTGATAAATGAGCATTCCACAGTCTTATTTCCATGGCCAACATTGCCAAAATAGATAGGAAAATAAAAATTTAATTATATGAATGAGTTAATTATGTAATACTGATGCTCAGGAAAATTTGCAATAATACCACATCATATACATGCTTTCAACAATATGTAAAAAGGGAAAACAAAAACAATCATCCATATTAATTTCTTGCAGCAAACTGTATTGCAATCAATAACACATAAAATGGTATATATGCATACATATAACACCGTCATACGTACTTCTTATCAGACATACAGGGAAGTAACTGTTACTTTTAGTAAGCAATTTATGTTTAGTACAGTTCAGCAATTGTTTATGAATGTAACTATTGGAAATAATAAAATATATAAATGGTACATAAATCACTTATAATATAGGGACTGACTGTACTTTACAAACCATAATATATAAATATAAACTAATGTAAATACTTACGTACTTCTTTCTCTTTTATTCTATCATCTGAACATGTTATGCATACCTCTCAACATGAATAACTGTTTAATACCTGGTATGCACTTCCTATCTGTACCTGCATGTACTATATTCTGTTACTTTCTTAAAGTCACAGTTGACACCATTTTTGCTTGTAACAACTCCTTACTGAAATAGTTTTTCCCACTTCATTTGAAATAATAATTCATAATTTTTCATCGATTCACACTCATTGCCAGCAATAAATAGAAATGGGATTATGTGTGTGTGTAACTACAGCTATGAAAATGATTAAAAAAAAAAGAAACTTTAATGAGATGCCAACTTTGTACAGTACAAAGTATGCATCAAGTATATTCATGCAACAAATTTTATCTCTCAGAAAAAATAAATGATTAAATGCTAATACACAATATTTATAAAAATAGCTTCTAATACATGTATCTCAATTTTGTATATTTTTGCTTAGGTACTTTACCTAGCAGACATTACCAAATACAACTACCTGTTTGTTACTTATTGTACCTGTTATGAACTACTAAAAAGATAATAAAATACATATTTAACAACCAGTCATTTACATCTGTGTGGTTAACTTTATCTTGCAGCTCTGTAATCTTTCTTCCATATGTTAACACTATGCTATATGTATATTAGGTAAGACTAAGTAATTAAATGCTGTTTTGCAAATACTCACAAACAGATATATACAGTCAAAAGTCGTTAATCCGGACTCGTCGGGACTTTGGCAATTCCGGATTATAGATCATCAGTTTAAATCTGGTAAAATGGCATGCAGAAATTATAAAATTAAAAATATGAAACTGTAATTTACGAAATAAAGAACAATTATGATCTAAAGGGTATCAAAATTTACAAAAAAAAAAAGCTTAATATTTATTGTTTACTTATTAAACATTTCTTTCAATGTAAGTTGTTTAAGTTGCTTCGTTTTTTATGTGATAATACATTCTCTTTAATTCTATAAACACACATAATTTCTTGTTCAGTTACAAAGTTCCGCTGTTCACGTCCTATAATTGCTGTGTTGAGAATACCGACTAATTTGTCAATCGAACTTCTTTCGTTTTCAATAACCTCTGTCACTTTCTTCACTATCGGAAACGAATTATAATGATGAGGCATTTGAAAATCATATCAAAGACGGAGTACATCGAGATGAAATACTACACTGAGTAAGCAATTATAAGCCAAATAAAATAAAAACATCTGCTCTTAAGATAAGGATAGTGCTGACAGATCAACTTCCAATTCGTTGCATGCCGCCGGCCGCGGCGTTAAAGATAAACAAAGTTTAGATAAACAAAGGATATGCCTTTATCCATTTTTTGCAGCAATTTCACTTTTTGTTTAATGGACTCCGAAAGATACTTTCGCTTTGTATATCCTTTACATATTAGTAAATATATATCGGAAATTCTATTTGACATAATCGAAAGTTCAAGCTTACTTTTATAAAATTGCTCTAACAGTCTGCAAAAAATAATAATCCGGATCCAATTCGAAGATTAAGGAACAACGCAATCTGCAACATTAATTGAAATAGA